AAAAGTATAATTTTTTCTCTCAAAAATTTAATTATCATTGTAACTAAAATAAAAATAAATTAAAATCATTTTAATAATTATCTTTAACAATTATTAAAACCCCTGCATTCTATTACAATAAGGAAATATAAAACTTTTTTTATAAGCAATAAAAATAATGCTCATCTAAATAATTTAGAGAAGCAGCTCACATAGCTCGCCATGTTTGTTTTAGGAGAGCTTTTCCCCGCTCTTGCACTCATTTCTTCCCGCCTAGGCCTGTATACATATATACAGAGAGAGAGTTTTAAAAACACTAGGTGGATTAAGCTTAAAACTTATTTAAAAGTGTTATAAAAAACTAAAGAAGATATCATATATTTAATTTTTGTCTATTTGTTAGAAAATTTTTGTTAGACAAATCTGAGATATTGCATTATCAATTTTTTACGTCAATTTTTCATCACTGAAAACTATTCTTTAGTCTGTTTCTACCATATGAATCTTGTGAGTTCAACTTTGACAACCAATAAAGGTTTCTTGTAGCTATATAAACACCAATGTTTTTTCTAAAGTAAAATAATTCTGTCTAAAAGAAAAAGATTCATGTTTTTTTTTTTAATGTGTTAGAAACCTCATGACAACTTAACCTTGGATACACTTTTGATCAAATGTAAGAATGTTTTTTGCGCTTTTAGTTTTTTGTAAACTTCCGGATTCTGCATGACGTTAAATGCCACTTGTTGTTTTAAATGCTTTCAAATTATTTCTTATGCAATCCTCTGAAATTTTTAACCTTCTTGCTACTTTTCTGTTACTAATCATAAAACCATCTTTAATCATAGAGCCATCTTTTTATCATACATAATTATCATTTTTATACTGCGTTTGACACAGCTCTGTGTATTTTAGCTTTTTGATCATGTAATACTAAAAAAGGTTTTAAATGTGAGTAAACTGGTCACCATAAGCTATTTCATGCAACCTTTTATTGGAAAACTTCAAACTAATATACAAATTAATAAAATAATGAAAAGGCTTTGTGATAAAACATTATATTGAGCATTTCACTAGATGTGTATGCATATAGTGACTTTGATGGGCTATGATGTTAACATTATACTTTAAACACTTTTGGTTAATATTTAAACAAGTCTAAAGATATTTTTTTAAGTGGTTTAAAAAATGAAGTAATTACATAATATTTTTACAAAAGCTTGAATGGCAGTTACATAAAATATACTCATTGTTTAAAAATTAAATAAATTTTTTATAAAAAAAAAAAAAAATTTTTTAGGTTAACCATTTTAATTGAAATATTTAGCAGCATAAAAACTTATTGTTTGTTTTAATACAATGTCAATTAACAAAAGATAATAAGTATATATATATATATATATATATATATATATATATATATATATATATATATATATATATATATATATATATATATATATATATATATATATACATATACATATATATATATATATATATATATATATATATATATATATATATATATATATATATATATATATATATATATATATATATATATATATATATATAAACATTATCTTGCGAAAATGTCAACTTTTATTTAGACTAGTTTAGTTTCATGTTAGACTTTTATTTAGACTAGTTAGTTTCATGTTAGACTTTTTTAGGGAAAGACAGCGACAAACGATAATTTTTTTAAAAGCTCTTAATTTCAATTTTTTCCACTTAATTTAAAAAATACTTCTTTTGACTTAAAAAACAAAAATTTAATAAACAAAAGGTAAATAAAATGAATTGCTATTTAGTTAAATCACAGAATACATTAACATTAATTATAACTAAGTACCACTTTTAAAAACTTATTTGTTGTTTTGTTTTAACAATTATATTTTCAAACAACTCTATTAAATATAAGTTCAGACATTGTAGAGCTATATTTTCATTTCTTACTAAAATTAATGGGTATAGTAAATTTACAATTTTAGGGCATGTATTGTTAAATGTTTCATTAGGAAAATTTATTTTTTTGCTGGAAATTTGTCTCGTTATTGTTTTTTGATGGAAATTTCTCTAATGTTTCTATTCTCCCTTTTTTATTTCATTTTAATAGAAATAAAATACCTTGTAAATACCAAAAATGTGTATGAAGCTTTTGCCAAAGTTGATTAAGTAATGCAAGCAAAGGATATATTAATAAATTTTTTTTTAATATTCTAAGCTTTTGCCAAAGTTGTTTAAGTAATGCAAGCAACTAAAATTTTTTTGTAACAAAAAAATTTTAGTAGCTTTTACATAAAATTACCTGTAATAAATTATTGTAGGGTTTTCTTGCATTAAATTTTTTTTTTTTTTTTAAATAAATGTGGAAAGTAGAAAAAAACAACCCTTATAAATCAGGTCTTGTAAATATTTAGATCTTAGCGCCCTAATTTTAAAGTGAAAATACATATCTAGAGGTTATCTTAACAAAAAATCTTGAAATTAGTTTTATAGTATTTTTCAATCGTTTTTCAATTAGAGAATGGTTTAAACAACACTCGTTAATGTTTACTTTTATATATTTATTTTCACTTTGATCAAAAGTGTTTTGAATTGATGCAAAGTAGTTTTCTAGGTCAATGGTTTTAATCAAGATTGTTTTTAATTTTGTTTTGATCGTCTTTGAGTTAACATATAAATCTTAAACTGTTATAGCTATTATTTAAATTTGTGTTAAATGTTAATCAAATATTTTAAAGATAATTAAAATCTTTTATAGTTTGCTAACTTTTATTTTATTATTTGCTAACTTTTAAAAAAAACTAAGTTAAAAAAAAAAAAAAAAACTTGTTTGCCAAAAATTGAAAAACTTGTTTGCCAAAAATCTGAAATTCGAATGACAAACTTTTATGCTTAGCTATATAATTGTAATCAAAAAATTGACTGCCATAAATAGTAAATCAAAAAGTTTTAATTTAGTTCAAATGTTATTATTATAAGTATAATAACAAGTTTAGTAAAAATATTTTTTTTAATATTATAATTTTTTAACATATTTAATTTTCATACTTCCTGCCTATCAAAAGCCAAAGAAATAACATCAGCATTATTAGGTGATGGAAGAACAGGCATGCTAATACACTGCATTGGTGGTGGGGCCTTTCCATATGCATTAGGATACATTCCAGGAGGACGATGCATAACATAGTTTCCAGCTGTAGCATTCCATGTTGGTTGAACATCAAAAGGTATACCTTAAAAAACAGTTATGTTAAAAAAAAACATAAAAATTTATTAGCAAATACAAAGTTAATTTACCTTTATTAATCTGCTATATATCCTATTTAATCTATATATCAGTAAAATAAGAGAGGGGGGTTGAGGTCCAAAATTGATATTTTTTTTGGATTTTGTGTAGTTTAACCACTTATTCTTAATTAATTTTTTATGCTGATTTGGAATTATTTAATACTTTTTTTCATTATAAATATTTGGCCTTCTATTTCAATTTCAATAAAAGTAATTATTTTAAATCATTATTATTATCAAAGTAGAATCTGTAGAGAAATTTTTTTTTTAGTTTTGTTAATAAAATCTGTAATCATTATGTGTAGTTATAAATACAGCAAAAAATTACACATTATACATAAAATTACACTATATACGGAACAATTTGTAACAATTACTAGTAAAAATGCGAAATAACTTGATTTTAACCATGGTGCAGTGATTTAATTTCTTTCTCAGAATCAAGAGGTCTGAAGTTCAATGAAGCTCTTGAAGCACCTTTATGACTAAAAAAAAATGTCATTCCAGGTGATTGTGGAATGTTGTGAGGACTTTCTGAGTTAAGTAGAAACTTTAAATTATTAGCTTTTTCTTCTGAAGACATAAGATGTTTTTTTGTATTTTTATCAATAATTATGATTTTAAATAAAGTGGATCTTGGCTGTAATGATTTATTATTTTTTGGTTATTACAAAAATAAACAACTCATTCATCAATCGTTTTTTGACATTTAACATATCTTTCTGTTTTCAATATATTGATTGACATCTGATTTGAAAGTGAATGGGTTGCCTTGAAATTTCAAACAAGCTAAGATATAATATCTCTTGGACACCTTATGTTAAGCTTACAGTTCTTTTTTTGCTAACCTGCTTCGTCTCAGATGTTTCTGTTACTGCTTCCAACTGTATTTTATGTTTTCAAATTTTGTAACAATGAGACACATTTCCCAAAATATTTCAAAATTATCTAAATTTTGATTTCACAATGGTTTGGATATTAAAGTACTACCACAAGTAATTTTTGTAATCAACAGTATTTCTGAAGCCGATTCCAATAAGTGCCACATTGACACCTTAGTTTAATGTTATTTGAAATTGTTTCATAAATTGCAAAAACCTGATTAAAAACGTAATACAGCAGTTATTACATTAATGTACCTTTTTTCCAAACCCATAATATTTTTTATTTTTTGTTCAAGAAAGAATTTTGCTAAACTATTTGCAAGAATGATACAATCATCCAAGTTTTTTGATGCATATATACAAACTGCTCCTCAACTACTGAGCAGTCTTTTTTAATAAAAATTTCCGAATCATAATTTATTGTTGACTTTATTAAAGAAAAGTACAAAAACGACCCTGAGTAAAGACAACTTTGTATAATAAATTTGTCTATTACTAAGAGGTTTCTAAAGAAATTTATTAATTTTGATTTATTTGTTTACTAGTTTATGATTTATTAATTTATTAATTTGTTACTTCTTGTTGCATTATTTTTTCTTTTAATCGATATCTAAATTCAGTTAACAAAATTAATAGCAAAGTATTTCCTAGCGAAGTAAATCAAAAAAAATTTACACTAAATAAGCCTTATTTTTGTTTAAACACAACTTTTATTTTAATTCAAAGTTATCCAATCAGAATTTAAACTGCATAAATTTTCACATAAAGTTGCATAACTTTACACGCTGCAAAGATTTCTAGTTTTTAAGTTTAAATATTTTAAAAATGTTAAAAATTGAAGTAGAAGGTCAACCATAAAAAAATAGCAAAAACTGAATTGTTTATTGAACTTTTTAAAAAAAATTAACTAAGATTAACTGGTTAAACAAAAAGTATAGAATTTTGCCCCACTCCCTATAATATCAGGGGGGTATTTTAGAAAAATAACTTCGATGGGGTACCCCCTCTGCAATATTTTTGACCCTCTTTTAAATTAATGTTTAAATATAAGGCAAAAATTTCTTAATGTGTTCCAAATCAAGTGTCTTTTTTAATTATATATTCAACAAAATTATGTTGTAATATCTGATAACATGCACGTTTTAATTTGTAAACACAGATTCAAATCCATTGAATATTATTTTCATGGCAACTTTTTTTTTTTTTTGTTGCATTTTTACAGTAAGGTAGATATGATACAAAACACTTAACATCATTTCTGTTAAAGATATTTATTTTCCTGCTGGACTCTATCTAATCTAATTTTATACGAAGTTTGTATATAATTGTCTATATAACATCATCATTATATTGCTTTATTTTTATTTTAGGCAGCATTACATTGAAAATAAAAATGAATTTAAAACAAAGTGATTTTATAATTAATGTAAGTGTATAAGTATTACAGGGTTATTCACTTTTACATGCGTGTCTATTCATTCTTATATGCACTTATTTATTCTTATAAGCGTCTTTATTCATTCTTACATGCGCATTTATTTATTCATATATGCGATTTAAAAATGCAATTTAAACAATAAAAAATCATTTATTCGTATTTCCTGGTGAACGAGGTTAAAAATACTTAAGACGAATACTTTTTATATTCAATGATGTCTTTGGTTTAATTTAATATTAGGTCTTTGTTTAATTTTATTATTAAATTTCTTGATTGATTAAATTATTATTTATTTAATTAGTTATTTATGCAGATTTAAATTCAATTCTTAATAATTATTATTAATATATCTATATAAAAATTTAAAAGCTTATTTATTGTTTATATTATATTAGTGATTTTATGGATGGTTGCACTCGCATATAAACGCACATATAAGAATGAATAAATGCGCATATAAGAATGAACAAATGCACATATAAGAATGAATAAATGCACATATAAGAATGAAAAAATGCGCATATAAGAATGAATAAACACTCATATAAATATGAATAAACGCGCATATAAAAATGATTAACCCTGTAATTAATGAGTAATGTTGATAATTATTTGTAATTATAAAACCTATTAATACATAATTCAAATTATAAAATTTGTTATTTTATAATAATAATATTTTCAACTAAATAGTATATTTAGTTGAAAATTTCTGTTTAAGTTAATAAATATAAAATATATATTAAAGAAAGTTATAAAATAAAAATACTTTAAAAAATTAACGATGCCAATGCAATTAATAAATTTTTTTAACTGTTTTTAACTGTGCTTTTTTTACTTTACCAGGGATTAAATTAAAAAATTTAAAATTCCAAAAAGGCTAAAAAATTATTTTTATTGGTGTATATAGATATACAAATACACACACACTAATAATAATAATAACTTGTATTATTTATATATACTTTTTACCTTTTATTTTACTTGTAAAATATATTTTTTTTAAATTGTAAAATGTTTAATATTAGATATTATTTTATATTTTTATCTTATTTAGATTTTTATTATACTATATATAATATAATAATAATCTGCTATTTAATACATTAAAACAACAAAATAAAAACAAAATTATAATTATATTTCTATTTAATTATAATTCATAAATTAATATCAAGATAAATATAATTTCAAAAAAAATTACATCTATTAAGTTAGTAAGCTTAAACATGACTTATGATTGGCCTAAATTAAAAACCTGACTTATGATTGGCCTAAATTATGAAAAAACTATAAAAAAAAACAGTGTTTTTATCTTATTTTTATGCATTTCATATTGTTTTGTTCATTACTGACCAACTACATAACTATATGATATATATATATATATATATATATATATATATATACATATATATATATATATACACACACACGCACATACACACAATTGATTACTAAAAACTATAAATTCATTACCTTTATCATTGACTCCGGGGTGTAAAAACCTACAAGTAGATCCCCATCGACATAGCCCTAAGTAACAAAAACTATTTAATTTAAATAAGATTTTATATAAAGTTTGATTTAGAACTCTCTTGCATTCTTTTATTTCACACATTATTTGTATTATTTCACTCACATGTATATTTTATTTCACTCATATGTAACAAATTTTTTAGATTTCAACGTAATCTTTACTTAAGTTTACCAAATTTTTAGATATAATAGCAGATGTGATACCCTTAATGAACTTGATACCCAGTCCGTTTGATAAAATCCATAGCCCATACCAGATTTTTGATAGTTAAATTTTATTTCAGATCCGACTTTCCAATATCTGTTTATATCAGATCAGAAACCTGATTTATTCAAATCCAAAACTAATCAATTATACAACAATAACATCTAAATACCTAACCACTTGGGTATAAAAAAAAATGTCTTTGATTTAACATATCAGAAAGTTCATGATGAATTTCATTTTTTTCCTTACCAAAAAACTAACTAATTTAGAAAAAAATGCACTTAATAAAATATATAAAAAAAGTTATTGAAAAAATAAAAGTATACAAACAAAAATATTCATGCAGACAGACATAAAAAATCTACAGTTGAGTTTTAATAGAAGGAAAAAGTTTCTCTTAACAAAGATAAAACAAACACTTTTATTTAGTACTTTCATATTATTTACTAAGTTAACTTTAAATTAATAAAAAAAAAAGTATAAACAAAATTCTGAAGTTGTAAAAAAAATATATTTTTAAGAACGTATCAGTAACGAAAAAAATAAAAAATAAAATAACTAATTTAAAGTTAATCTTTGTTATTTATAAATATTTAATCGTTATGATTATGAAAATTTACAGGCAAGCACGCAAAAAAGTTAATATATAAATTTACTTTACACGACCATTCTGCAACATTACCTATAAAATTTTAATTTTATTATTCAGTATAGAAAACCGATATAGATCCAGATATTGGATTTATTATTGACCTTTATTAAATTCTTCATCCGAACCCGAATTAATAGAAAAAAAAAATTTTCAATATTTTAAATCAGATACTGGATTGGAAATAGGGATATCTAGAAATTCAGATATTTTTGCTCACCTCTATATAACACACAAAAAGATGTTTCATTTAAATATTTCACAGTACATAAAAAGATGTTTTACTTTAATATTTCATTTTTAGTAACGCATATAAGCACCTATGCAGAAAACTGCATAAAATATAAACATTAGATTTAAATACATTAAAAATTATTTTTCTTTTAAAATCACTCACCGTTATTATAGTACTTGCAAAGGGTCTTTGGAATGAAACGTGCTGAAAATAAAAAACTGCATTTTTAATTTTGCATAAAAATTCAATGTATTTACATTGCATTAAAGCTTCTTCTTAAAAATCTTACAGTTTCCATCTTTTATATAAAAAACTAAAACAAAAATAAATCTAAAAATAAAAAAATTTACAAAATAAAATTTTTTATAGCTATGCAACGTTAAATTTTTGTTTTAGAACTTAATCTAGCCAAATAGAGCTCTGTATTTACTTCAACTCTTTTAGAGGATTGTAAATCAATGAAAACTCTTCTTTGACTGGCTTGTCGCCAACACATTTTAGATTTGCTCTTGGGAGCATTTTGGAGCTCCTTATTTAAAAAAAAAAAGCTAGTTATAATATAGACTTCAAAGATTTTCAACAAGAATGGGTTTGCGCAGAGAACGCTCCACTAAAAAAACTTAAAAATACTTTTCTTAAAACGAAAGCAGACGAAACTCGTAGTTCTTAGAGAAACAATTAAAATGTAAGCATCGCCGAGGTGATTACAAAGAAGCTGCAGAGTTAGCACTTTATCTTTTAGGCGGACCAGAACCTAAAGTATGGAAAACCTGTGGAGCAAATCATCATGCCAGATGGATGTCACACTTGTTGTATGCACCTAAGATGTTCATCTTTTAAAAAAAAAAGATGAACACCGAAGATGTTCATATATAAAAATAGAAGTCGTTGAAAACCATAGAAAACTTGTTGGTAAATTCAATAAGAAGAAATTATTTTCTGACTTTGTTCAATTCAAATAACAATTTCTGTTATACTATTCATCACTGCACGAGATAGCACCTTGTTTATATAGAATAATGGATTCGTTTTTTAAAATTAAAATATATTTTTTGTGATAATTAAAACATTTTAAACATTTGGAATAAATGCCAAATATGTCCTGATTCCACATCATCTAAGTTTTTGTTGTGATATTTTTGCGTAAAAAAGCGATTCTTTAAATAAAATGCGGCAGTATTTAGAAACATCATAGAAAATTTTTTTTTTTAAATAACAATTTCTATATGGTAAGGAACAACTTTTTATGCAGCCACATGTAATTTTTAAAATTTATATATGTATGTATATATATATATATATATATATATATATATATATATATATATATATATATATATATATATATATATATATATATATATATATATATATATATATATATAATGCTCTATTACATAAATTAATCTTATTTGTTTATTATTGAGCCCTCTTATATGTACAAGAATTTTTTTATTTTATTTACAAATACAAAATATCATTTAAAATATGTATGTATATGTGTATGTGTGTGTTTGTTTGTGTGTTTGTGTGTGTGTGTGTGTGTGTGTGTGTGTGTGTGTGTGTGTGTGTGTGTGTGCTTATATATATATATATATATATATATATATATATATATATATATATATATATATATATATATATATATAATATATATATATATATATATATATATATATACATATATATATATATATATATATATATATATAAAGATTCTAGAAATGATTAAATACCTATAAATAAAATTTAAGTAATTATTTGGAAAAAAAACTCATACTTTGATTATTCAATGTTAAAGTTTTGCTAGGAGGTGTTTCTTCTGTATCTTCAATTTGACCATCCTCAAGCTCCTGCAAAGATTTTTTTTTAATAATTTTTATAGAAATAACAAAAAGCTTCATAAATAAGAACAAAAACAGAAAAAAAGAATCAAATGAAATTTTCAGGAATAAAAAAAAAATTATAACAAAATAAAATTTCCTTATAAATAGACTACAATAGAACTAAGACTACAATAGAACAAAGTGAAAATAAAATACATTATTTTTAATAAACACTTAATAAAAAAGACTCATACTTGGTCAGTCTTTGAAACCTTTTTCCATTTATCATGCAAAGGATCAACACAAACATAAACTTGGCCAGTCTATAAAAAAAGTTAGATGCAAATAATGAATACTTAATTAATAAGTTCATTCTTTGGATACACATCAACATTAACATTATAGTTTAATGGTCATAACTCATGAAACACATTGTGTTGACAAATGTTGAAATATTTGATATAAAAATGTTATTAATTATTTTAATTTACAATAATAATATTGGCAAATGACTATACTATAGGATACTTCTACATATAGTATATGTAGAAGTATTCTTACAAATTCTTTTTTCGGTGTTTTAAAAGCAATACAGAAAATAGCTTTTAGTGTTACTTGCTTATTTTAACTGCAGGTTATATGTGAGTTTTCAGCATGTAACTTGCAGTTTCATTATAGTAAAAAGAAATCTTACGCAAGCAGAAGTTACTTGCGTAGGATTTCTTTTAATTAAATTTTCTTTTAGCACTAAATTAAAAAATGATAGTCAGACAAAATAGCCGTTCAAACCAATCTTTAAGTAAATTTCATTAATTACACAATTATAAATGCAGTTGCTCTGTAAATTATCACACTAATTCAATAAGATCATGTATTGGTAATGCATTAAAGGCTACAAAGAAGCAGAGAAATCTTTATTTGCTTGTATTTGCTCATTTACTGAGTTTTGCCTCCAATAGACTTTCTACAAATGAAGAAATGCTCAAAATTTATCAACATTAATAAATATTCGGACAGTGACTTTTCAAGCACAGTTAGTTAGAATCCAACTGAATGCAATAAACTATATTCACCTCCAAAGTTCAAAATAAATAGAAAAGATTTCAGAGTGACATTAAGGTTTGCCTTCAGTTAAGTATGGAAAACATTCATCACAATTGGATTCCAATTATGATTAGATTTGGTATTGGAGTCAGGCCGGGTATGTGTCTTTTGTCTTCTCTTTACACGGCTAGTGGAGCTAATATTGATAATATGTCGATATCAAGATCAACTCTAAACAGGAAAACTCATGAAATGTTGTGGAGTCTGAGGGACAGATAATTGGAGAGGAAAACATAGATAAAATAAGAGGTTTGAAAATTGTGGTAATTTCAATACCAAGATTTTGAAAAGAAACGATTGGGAAAAAGGAATATTTAAATACTCATATTTAGAATTGCCGTTAGCACATCTTCAAAAGAGTCTGGTCTACTAGACTTTGGCATCTAAAAAAATTGAAAGCTCCGAGAAAAGTAATCAAACCATTGCAATTCAAACAATGCTTGAATACTATGAGATGTTTGATCAGATTATCAGATTATGTTCTTACAAAACATCCAGTGGGATCCATCCAGTGGCAAAAATAAAGGTGCCATAAGCATTATTGTTTCCTATGCCCTTAAAAAACTATGGCTGCAGATTTACGTAAACAAACTTAAGAGAATTGTAATGCTTGACTGGTCTTAAGATGCTTTTAGACCCAGCTCATAACTGTTTTAAACCTGCCTTGGATACTAAAGAGTTTTGTATCACAGCTCTTAATAAGAATACTTTCCAGAGATGTGATTACAAGTATCTTTGTGAGCTTCTGGCATTTTTTCTAAGTGCTGATTTATCAAGCTTTTTATTTAAACAGCATGGAGCTAATCATGAAACAAGATTTATGAGTGACAGTATATACTTACTGGTTATTCAGATGAACCAAATGTATCACCCTGCTGATTCCGAGACAGTTAGAAAAAAAAAAACAATAAGCCATCTGAAAGTTGCAACCAATTACACCCTATTTTTTCATTGACTCTTTTTTCTAAAAAGCCCTGTGAAAAATGGCATTCAATATTGCTTTTCAGATACAAAGAGTAGATGAGTTTAAAGAATTTGCAGCGAGACCAACATGTTAAACAAGCAAAAAACTTTCTTATGATATCCCAGAATTAAAAGTTCTGATTAAAAAGAGACAAAGGTTGAAATTATTCCTATATAAAAATTAAAAGACTTTTTAACAAGCAGTCCTACCTTTTGCTCTTGCTATTGGAGGTCTCCAAGAAGGAACTTCTGTTATGGAAAGAAAAAGGCATAGAAGCATGTGAAAATGGATGTTTAATAGTCTTTTACTTACTTTTTAATAGGTGTAAGAACATTTGCAGTTGCATATGACAGTGCAGAACGCCACATTGAGTTAATTCAAGATTTTATTGAGAGAAAACACAATGAAGACAGGCTTTAAGATACTCTCCTGATACTTTGTTCAATAACACGAATGGGATTTTTATTTGTTATTAATAATAAATTTTGCTGTATAAATAGTACTTTTTATAAATTTACGTATTTGTAATTTAGGTAGTTCAGAGGCACCAGTAAAAGATTTCAAAGATGCTACAAAGAAAGATCTTTTGTTTAATATTATATCTATTATTAATACTGGTTTATCTTACAATATAATAATAAGATAAATTATAAGAGATGAATTATTAGAGTATTTTGGTTTAAAGTAAATGATAAAGTAAATCTCTAAATTTATTTTTTTACTTATTTTATAATATACAATAAAGTTAAATGATTGATTTTGAGGTTTGAAACCTTGACATTTCATGGAGGGATACAGCATTTTTTGATATTTGAGATAAATGAGTAACCCCCTCATATTGAGAGTTGATATATACCTCATCATCATCTCGTATCTCACCATCTTCTCTTTCATCTCCATCCTATAAAATTTTAATAATAAAAACTGTTAAATCAAAAACTTACATGTGTGTATATTATATATATATATATATATATATATATATATATATATATATATATATATATATATATATATATATATATATATATATATATATATATATACATGTACATTTTTATGAAATTAATAATTTATATAACACATAAATGTATGTGTGTGTGAATACATACATACATACATACATACATACATACATACATACATACATACATACATACATACATACATACATACATACATACATACATACATACATACATACATACAATCTAGTTTTTTTTATCAAAAATGTTACTTACTTCTGAGAATAATATAGTCTTGTTTTAAATGTTACTTAATGTTTAAACAATTAAAAAGTATAGGATTCCTAATATAGAAAATATCGATGGTTAAGAGCACAAAGGGAATACGTCCACTAACCATTGTTTTGAGAAATCTGAATTTGAAAGTTTGAAAACATACAAAAATTCATATATATCACCTATTTGTTTTGTTAAATATCTTCCGATTGGTCGACTGTTAAAGCCTAATATTTGTAACATAGTACCCTTATCACTTACTGAATGGCGCGCGCAATAACTCAAACCGTAAAATGTTGGACATATTCCCTTTGTGCTTTTAACCATCGATATTTCAATTTTAATTTAAATGAAAAAATACACCCTTTAATAATCGTATTGATAATTTAAATGTGCACAATATTTATTAAGCATATAGTTATTAAAACGCATCCATAAGTAGTAGAATAGAAATAATAAATTGCAGAACTAAAATAAAATACAGCAGAATAAGTATGACTGATGAACAAAAATAAAAAATAAAGTTATGTATGAAAAAGTAAAACTACAAAAAAATTTGAAAATCAAAGCAGTTTTCTAAAATACTTCCACACAGACTGTTAAAAGGTTATGTAAGCTTTTTTATGGGTTATATAAACATTACACATTATGTAAGCTTTTTTATGAGTGTATATAAACATTACACATATAGTTATTAAACTTATCATATCTAATATCTTTCTTACATGATCTGAAACAATTTCACCATCTTCAGAAGGTTTATCAGGCTTTCGAGCAATAGGATCATACTCTGGAAGATCAGGAAGATCCTCTACATCATCATTTACAACTTGATCTTCCTGATTTTCCTCTTCTTCTTCATAATCCAACTCCCCTTCTTCTATATCTTCAAGCATGTTACGAAGCTTAAATAACAAAGTTCATATTTATACATGTGTGACTATATATATATATATATATATATATATATATATATATATATATATATATAATATATATATATATATATACACTAATAGTATTGTGTACTAGGGTAAGCAATCTGACATCATACTGAAATAGCCTGCTGCTGGGGGCTTCAGTACATACATCGACTGACAAATAGCCGGACTCGCAATGGAATGCTGCTACATCGACTGTGGGTTTGGGATGGGACAGCAATCATTTCATTTATCATTCTTCTTTTTATTTCTTTTTTTTCTAAAAAAGCTATATGGATTAAGGTAAGCAAAAAAAGTGAGCAAATGCTTGTAAAAATACGCTTTAGTAAGTGTGTGTGTGTGTATATATATATATATATTTATATATATATATTTTTATATATATATATTTATATATATATATATTTTTATATATATATATATTTATATATATATATTTTTATATATATATATATATTTATATATATATATTTATATATATATATTTTTATATATATATATATATATATATATATATATATATATATATATATATATATATATATATATATATATATATATATATATATATATATATATATAATATTTGATAAAAAGGTCTGACTACAAAACAGAAACAAAGTCGGCAATTTTTTGATGACCACAAACATTTTCAGGTTTTCACAGGAAGGCGTGCGATTTCCCGTCTTTATATGACCACGCAAAAAATAATATGTTTTAACGATTTGACTATGGCTTTTAACACATTTTCAAAATTTAAAAATGCGCTACAAAAACTTACCTAAACTTATCTACAAAAAAATTGTAAAAAGAAAAAAATCTTACCAAAAAATAAAATAAAAAAATACTTGGTAAATACTAAAACAAAACTCATCAAACTAAAATGCTTAGTCTATTTAATTTATGCATTAAAAAACCATTTCAATTTTTGTTTTCAACATTTGTATATATTTTTTATTTATTTAATATGTTTCAAAAGTTTTATACATACGATTTATATTGTATTATAATATTCTTAATATTATTGGTACTTTATTGTTATTGTTATTATTTTGTATTATTACTGTTATTATTACATATATCATTATTATTTGTTTAACAATCTTTTCTTCTTTTCTCTTTTATAAAGATGTTGAGTTTTTCTTTTTTTTCTTTTTTTTTTTCTATTTATTTATTTTTTCGTGAAATTTTAATGTTTTTTAGGTGTCACTCCATTGACTAGTTTGTAACTATATTAGTGACACCTAACCCATTTATATTAATTTACCATGAAACTTGTAAATTTTATTGATATGGTTTTATATATATATATATATATATATATATATATATATATATATATATATATATATATATATATATATATATATATATATATATATATATATATATATATATTTGTAGCCATTAGTCAATTTATGATAAGTGCAAATATGATATTTTGTAGGAGAAGAGTTTAAAAATTTGATTTAATGCCATAAATCATGTTGTAATGACAAATTATTTTTTTAAAAACTAGAGCAAACATAGACTGACCAAAAGTTCTAATGAAATATAACAAAACTGCATACATATCTCAAAATGACGAATTTTGCACTTATCATAAATTGACAAATGGCCACAGATATATATACATATATCATCAGATATATATATATATATATATATATATATATATATATATATATATATATATATATATATATATATATTTTAAGTCACCCTAATATATATGCGTGTGTGTGTATATATAATATATACACACACACACGCATATATATATTAGGGTGAATTAAAAAAAAAGACTGACCAATAAAAGATTTAAGTGTTTATGGTATTTTATTTTCCTTTTGGCATGATTATAGGCCACTAAAAATTTCAAAGTAATCAGACAATAAACAGGCTCAACACCGCAAACAGTAGAATTTAGATCATGAACAATTTTGCTAATGATAATGATAATTAATAAAAACACTATATAACATTTGAAAACATTAATTATTTTTTTCTAGTAATTTTAAATTACTGTACTAATTTCACAAACCTCTTAGAGGTATACTGGATATTGCAGCAAAATTCAGACTGAACTTTAAAAAATCATAGGTTAAGTGGTCAAACTAATAAATTTTTGAGATTTCAGGTTGATCTAGCAATAATATCTACGTAAAAGTAAACAAAAATATTCCAAATATTCAAAAAACTTCAGAATGCAGGAAAAAACGAGAATCATTCCTGAGAACCCTTTGCTCGGTAAGAATATCTGGGAGGTTATGAAAGAGACAGTAGTTGCCCAGTGAAAAAATTTGTTGTTAACTGAAGCTCTGCAGGCTAAGAGGCTGGAAAAAATCTTATTCTGTTTTTAGATGAAAAAACAACATGTTTAGGCCAAGTCTTGTAAGCAACAATACCTCAATGTTGAAGCCCTGAAGACTTCCAACTGGTCTTCAGGTCTTGTCCAATATGTTAGCTGACTATATCCGGAAAACTTGTTCTGAGAAAGTTGTATACAATACTATATTATAAACAAATTTTCATTAAAATAGTTTTTATCTTATATGGTACGTTTAAAGCCTTATATGGTATAGAAAATGCTTGAAATGGCTTTTGATAGTTTAAAACAAAATATGTATTTTTTTTGTGTGTGTTTTGTTACACCAGAGTTAAAGGTTGCAGCAAAAGCAATGGCTTGTAATATTCTTTGCAATTTGGTCATGTCCAAAATATTTTGATATTGTGAAAAAGCTTGATTTCAAAAAATAGATTAAAAATTGCTGCAAATCTAATGTAGATCTACTTATGGTGGATAAATAATTTAAAAAATTTCACTTGATTAGTATTCTTTATTCTATATTTATTAGTAGTGAGCTGGACCAAGATTTCAAGTTGACCTCTGATGCAAACATCTATTAACTAAGATGCCTATTTTTTCATCTTAAATACACGTTAATTTTAGAATGTTTTTTAATAAAACCCAAAATATTTATGGCTACTTATTTATAACTTTTATATAATTTTTATATTGCAAGAGATTTATCAAGGCTCAATTTTAGTTTGAAAAAACCTGTCAGTCGCTGTTAACAGCGGCTGAAAGTGCACAGAAAGTATATGATCAAGTGATGTCATTCTAGATGAAATCTAGACTTCCGATAAGACATAAACTAAATATAGTTCACAAAACTAAAGATTTGTGTAACCACCATGTTGGATTAATGAAACACAGGTCAAAAATAATGTAAAGGATCTCCAAATTCAAGAAGAAAATGGCAAGAAACTTGACAATTTGTTTGATATCAGTCATGCTAATTCAAATGAATTGATAAAGAATGAAGAAGACCATCAGTTTCTCAAATTACAGCAAGAGTCAAGAATCAGATGCATTGGGTTTGTCGACAAAAAAACTTTTCACCATGAAAAACAATTAGCTGAGGGCAGAACGCGATTTCTCAAGCAAATAGCAGCTTCATTGGGTCAGCAGTTTCTAAATGCAGCTGCAGCTGAAGAATGTGATGATGATAATGCCAATATAATGGGATCAGCCAAATCACTTCAGTCAGGCCAGTCAAGTTCCTATGATGAAGAGCAACAAGAATCTGCTGATGAATTCATTTTCAAGTCTAAAACTCCAAGAAAAAGTAGCCTAAATTCAATGTGCTGAGTCCAAAAGTATCAGTAGTATTAGACAGGACAAACACAAGCATTCGCACATCAATGATGATCCTGGCATCTCTGATCAATGAAATAGGCGGCTCAACATTTTCAACAGTTCTTTCAAAAAGTACATTCACCGTCAAAGACAGCTGTTTCATTGAGAAACTTCAGAACAGATCAAGGAGGACTTTTAAGCAAGGAAACCTGTAATGCACTGGGATGGCTTCTGCCTGATACTACTGGAGTAGACACAAAACAAGTGGATAGATCGCCAGTTTTGATATCTTCTCTTGTTGATTGAAGCTTCAAACTTCTGGATGTGCCAAAGATGTCTTCTGGGTCAGGAAAAGCAGCTTCATCAGGTCAGCAGTTTTTAAATGCAGCTTGGTCAATCCACTGGACCGAAGATTTGATATTAAAAAAAATTTTAAAAATCTGGTCAACTAAAGCCACGATCGACACTGTTGATCTCTGCAAGTGACAAGCAGAAGTGTTCATTGCTGAGCAACTTTAACTCAGCCATCCTCGAGATGACTACAAAGAATTTCTTTAACTTGTGGATTCCATGATTGGTTTGAACAATTCTACTGTAGCAGCTGTTCGAATATTAAAACCTGGTGCCCTTAATAGAGCACGTTAGATGGCTAAGGCAATCTACACAATGAAGATCAAGTTGCCTTTGATGGTAACAAATCTGTAATAAAGCTAACAGCTCCAGAATTGCAAGAAATACAACGATTTAATAGATTTGAATCGCTGAATAGTTCGATTCCTTGCAATTGTCCTATTCTTAGCTGCATGATTAAGATGGCCTTGGTTTGCAGACAGCAGGTTTGAAGATGATGTTCCGGATTTCTTGGTACTTAAGCCAAGAGCTTGCAACACTCTCTGCTTTCTCAACATCTATCCTGTGAAGGGAAAGCAAAGATTGCATCAGAAATCAAAGATGATCAAGGATTGCAATTGGTCAAGTCACTTCCTCATTCAATATCGGAATTAACCATTTCTAGACGTTTCTTCAAAACTACGATTTGACAACAGTTTTCTTGTCTTGCCTGTAGAAGAATGAAAAGAAAGTCAATCTTATCAGATCGCATGCGGACAGATAAAAACTTGAAAAAAACTCATACAGAATTTCAATGCCATTATAACAAAAGATGAACAACAAAAACAATATCTTCTGCAAGTTGTCAAAAAGCACAGACACAACTTTTTAACGTTCTACCATGACAATCTTCTGGATATATAGACAAGACTATAGAATTATAATTATGTCAAAATTAATTATTTTACTACTGAGAACTGATGCAAATGTA